GGTTCGCGCTCTCGCGTGGTACTTCCTCACAATGTATTGCGGCGCCGTGCCCCCAAAACTCATAAATCACGCGCTCGCGTTTGATGTCCTCACGATTTACTTGGGAATCGCGTTATCGCTCGACACTTCCTTCACGATAGGTTGACACCTGAACGACCAGCCCGCTCGACCTGGCCATCTGGGCCCGCCCGCCAGACACGCCAGGCTGGTGTTGCCGCTTGTGCTGCTGCTCCTGACCCTCCTCCTGCAAATGTCTCTCGTGTTCCATAGTTCCCCCCTCCCCCTTGTCTCTCCGCTCCTCCCCTCCTCCTCCCACGCTTTAGGGGCTGCGCCAACTACAAGCGGCAGGTAGGGAAGATATATGATGTACCCCAGAGAGGGGATACGATAGAAGAAAAAGAGGGTGGGTACCAAGGTTTGGGATATCTGTGTTGAATGGCAAGCGAGCGGATAAGCACGAACAATCTTAAAATGATAGATGTTGTTGCGTAGTTTGATATGGATTGTCGTCGTTCCACCGGCGACTTGGCCCGCGACCCACCCGCGACCTGGCCCACGACCCACCCCGCGACCCACCCGCGACCCACCCGCGACCCACCCGCAACCCACCCCGCGACCCCCACCCGCGACCCATCCGCGACCAATCTGCGAACCGCTCGCGACCCACCCACATTGCTTTGACGAAAAAATCGGCGCCTGCGGCGGGCTCGTTGTTAAAAAAGAAATGCCTGCGGTGGGCTTCTTCGGAGCCTCGCAGACTGCCAACGAACCCGCCGCCCACTTACTCGTATTCGCAACTGCGGGGTGCTGCGTAACACACACACACACACTACTCCAGGCGACTGGCAGCCCACCAGGACCGCAGGGACCCCGCCAAAAACATCCCTGTCCAACAAGCATGCGAACGCACACCTTGGGTCAAAATCTTGGGTCATGATCGTGGGTCCCGCGAGCACTTTGCATTATGTTATCCCAACCCTCCTGTGCTGGGTATAGAGCACTGCCTGCTCCATTCCACCTTCCCTCCTCCCTCCTCCCTCCTCCTCTCCCCCTCCTCCTCCGTCTCTGCCTCCTTTTCCTTCCTCCTCCAACTCCTCCTCCTCCTCTTGCTCCTCCTCCTCCTCCTCCTCCTCCTCCTCCTCTTCCTCCTCTTCCTCCTCTTCCTCCTCCTCCTCCTTTCTTCTCTGCCTCCCCCCTCTCCTCCACCTTATCCTCCTCTTCCGCCTCCTCCTCCTCCTCCTCTTCCTCTTCCTCCTCCTCCTCCTCCTTTCTTCTCTTCCTCCCCCCCTCATCATCCTTCTCCTCCTCCTCCGCCTCCTCCTCCTCATCCAACTCCTCCTCCAACTCCTCCTCCAACTCCTCCTCCTCCTCCTCCTCTTCCTCCTCCTCCTCCTCCTCCTCCTCCTTTCTCCTCCTCCCCCTCCGCCTCCATGCCTCCTCTGTTGTCTCCTTCCTCCTGCTCGCGCTCTCTGGTCGGCTGCGAAGGGCGCAACTATCACCAATCTCGTGGCCTCCTGGGAGGTCCAACGGAGTGGGGTGGTAAACGGACCCAGCCGAGACCTCGCAGGACCGTCGGGGACTGCGAAGTGCGCAAACGTCGCCCATTTCGTGGGCTCCTGGTAGGTCCAGCGGAATGGAGTTGTAAACGGACCCGGCCGAGACCTGGCGGGACACTCGGGGGCTGCGAAGTGCGCAAGTGTCGGCCATTTCGTGGCTCCCTGGGAGCTCCAGCGGAGTGGAATTGCAAACGGACCCAGCCGAAACCTCGCGAGACCCTCGCAGGCTTCAAAATGCGCAGGTGTCACCAATTTCGTGGGCTCCTGGGGAACTCCAAGGGAATGGAATGGTAAACGGACCCAGCCGAGACCTCGCGGGTCTCTCGGTGGCTGCGAAGTGCGCAGAAACCGCAATTTCCGTGGGCTCCTGGGAGCTCCAGCAGAGCGAGACATAAACGGACACAGCCGAGACCTCGCGGGACTCTCGGGGGCTGCGAAGTGCGCAACTATCACCAATGTCGTGGGCTCCTGGGAGGTCCATCGGAGCGGAGTTGTAAACGGACCCAGCCGAGACCTCGCGGGACCGTCGGGGGCTGCGAAGTGGGCAAGTGTCGCCAATTTCGCGGCTTCCTGTAAACTCCAGCGGAGCGGAGTTGTAAACGGACCCGGCCGAGATCTCGCGGGACCGTCGGGGGCTGCGAAGGGCGAAAGCGTCGTCAACTTCGTGGGCTCCTGGGAGGTCCAGCGGGTGGGAATTGTGAGCGGACCCAGCCGAGACCTCGCGGGACTCCCGGTGGCTGCGAAGTGCGCAAGTGTCGCCGATTTCGTGGGCTCCTGGAAGGTCCAATGACATAGAGTTGTAAACTGACCCAGCCGAGACCTCGCGGGACTCTCGGTGGCCGCGAAGTGCGCAACTGTCTCTCATTTCGTGGCTGCGAAGTGCACAACTCTCTCGCATTTCGTGGGCTCCTGGGAGCTCCAGCGGAGTGAGCTGTAAACGGACCCAGCCGAGATCTCGCGGGATCCTCGGGGGCTGCGAAGTGCGCGAGATTTGCCAATCTCGTGTGCTCCTGGGAGGTCCAACGGAGCGGAGTTGTAAACGGACCCAGCCGAGACCTCGCGGGACCGTCGGGGGCTGCGAAGTGCGCAAGTGTCGCCAATTTCGTGGCTTCCTGGAAAGTCCAACGGAGTGGAGTTGTAAACAGTCCCAGCCGAGACCTCGCGGGACCCTCGGAAACTGCGAAGTGCGCAAGTGTCGCAAATTTCGTGGGCTTCTGGTTCCTCGCGTAGCCCCGCTCTTTTGCCGCCATCGGATGCTTGGTTGCCCTCGTAGCCGCGCCCTTTTGTATCCACTTTTCTTGCGTTTGACGGGTTGCATTCCTAAGTGCTCTCTGCGCACCGTAGATATTAAAACGCTTTCGTTTGTTTTGGGCAGTCCTGTGTGTAATCGCCCCAAGTTTCCACAAGGTTGGGTACGTCCCCGGGTAATTTGACCGGGACGGCGGGGGTGCACCCACATTGCCTGGTTTGCGCAAGCCCACCACCCGTATGAAACCAATTATTACAACATGCACTTCGCGACGAAATCTGGAACATGCGCGGCCACCCCGCGAACAGTGTCCATTGATGTTTGACGGGGATCGCGGGGGCGCTGGCAGATTGCCTGCTGTGGGCAGGCCTACCAAACACCATGATGGCCTCCCCCGCGCGGAGCACCTCGCCGCAGCGTCGCGCACACGGGCTTTGTATCGGTTCCCAATAGCTGCACATCCATAGACGACCGCTGAACATGCTGAAGTTCGGGAGCTACTGATGTGTTAGGAGGGCGGGTGGGAGTGAGCGAGACAGCTTGCTGGCGGGGAGGGTGTCTTTGCCCCCCCCCCTACCCCTGGGTCTGGAAAGGGGGGGCGGCGGTGGAGCGTCCAAGATGGCCTCGGAGCGGCAGCCACACTCATTCATGTTCCTTAAGTGTTCGCCACATGTTGGCCACTGGGGGGGGGGTCTCTAATGGGGTAGCTCCGCTTCATTGGTCGATCTTATCCAAGATGGCCCCAAGATGGACACAGCAGGCCCCAAGAGGCTCCCAAGGGTGCCCAGCAGGCCCCAAGAGGCTCCCAAGAGGCCCCCAAGATGCCCCCAAGAGGTTCCCAAGAGACCCCCTGAGGCCTCCCAGAGGCACCCAAGACGCCCCAAGAAGCCTCGGCGAGAATGCCAACATAATTAATACAACTAAGGCTTTAGACACATGTTGGCCTCCTGGGGGGCCGGCCTAGGTGAGGAGCCCCCCTCCTTTGATCGACCTCTCCCAAGATGGCCCCATGGTGGCCCCAAGGCTTCCAAGGTTGCCCAAAGACGGCCCCAAGGTGTGCCCAGCAGGCCCCAAGAGGCCTTCAAGAGTCTGGCAAGATGCCCCCAAGAGGCTCCCAAGAGACCCCCAAGACGCCCAAGAGGCCCCCTGGAGGCACCCAAGACGCCCCAAGAGCCTCCAGGACTGCCATGGGGGCCTCGAAGAAGACGCTCCCAGAGGAATCCAAGAAACTTTCAAACGAAATCCGAGGAGACTCCGAGAGGTATTCAAGAGGCCTATGGTCTTTATGCTCGCCCACCTCCTCCTCCTCCTTCTCCTCCTCCTCTTACTCCTCCTCCTCCTCCTCCTCCTCCTCCTCCTCCTCCTCTTCCTCATCCGCCTGCTCCTCCTCCTCCTCCTCCTCCTCCTCCTCTTCCTCACCCGCCTGCTCCTCCTCCTTCCTCATCCCTCCTCCCCCTCCCCTGCACCTCCTCCTTCTCCTCCGCTTCCTCCTCCTCTTCCTCTCCCGCCACCTCCACCTCCTCCTCCTCCTGCTCCTCCTCCTCACCTTCCTCATCCGCCTGCTCCTTCTCCTTCCTCGTCCCTCCACCCCCTCCCCTGCTCCTCCTCCTCCTTCTCCTCCTCATCCTCCTCCTTCTCCTGATCTGCCTCCTCCTTCTCCTCCTCCTGCTCCTCTTGCTCCTTCTCCGATTCCTCCTCCATCCTCCCCCTCTTGGGGCACGACATCTTATCCAATCATTTATTCCACTAAAGTATACTCCACATCCCTGACCAGGGCAACTCGTCTGGGCATCGTTAGTGGATGGGCTGAAAGGGTTTCGCGAAGCGTCCATATTGTTCTGGCACAAAGCGCCTGGCCGATGTCATGACGCAAGCATTTGTATACTTGGATGGAACCTCCTCATTGCAAATCTACGCCACATCAAATTCCTGCGGCACAATCCAGTGCCCAGTGGCATGATAACAGAACTGCAGCAGTGGCATACTGAATTAATCGATGTCTGCATTCGATACGTTCTGTCCCAGCCAAGACCCGCCACTCCGAAGCTATGCGTTTCTCCTCTTCTTGCCCCTCCACTTTGTCCTCTGATTCCTTCCCCTCTGCTCCGTCGACCGCATCTCCGCACATCGCTGATCACGAGTGGGCGAACGTTCGCGTAGAACTCGGAAAGAGAGAGAGAGAGAATGCCACGATCCTCCATCTGGAAGTTCGCGAAAAGAGGCTCGCCTTCACGAACGTCCAATATGTCCTCAGAGCCGTTTCCCCCCCTCCACACAATCTGCTGCTGGCCCCTGGAGAGAATCAGGCAACCAGCTCTAAGCCAGATGCTCGCACCATGAACGCACTGAGAGGATGGATGTAATGCAGCGCATGACGACAAAGAGCCAAGGCGTCCTCGACGCTGTCCACATCCACGGGCGTCTCCTCCTCGGGTATGGCCAACGAGGTGGCGAAATGATCCCCTCCGATGTTTCCGACCATTCCCTTTCTGACTATCACAACATGTCTCTCGCACGCCCTCGTGCTGCTACAGTCGAAACATGGCCACAACAACGCGAAGCAAGAAGATGGGCCGTTTCGTTGGAGGCCCCAAGCGCTATGGGGGTACACCACACGAAGACGTCACAAGGCGGAGTGCCCAAACACGAACTGAAAGGCACCCCCTTGAAAGCTAGGGCTGTTCTAAACTCTCGTGCCAGCTGTACTCATTCTGTGCTCAGCATGTCAAGCTTGCAAGGCTACAGGCCATGAGAGGCCTGGAGAGATCTGACGACACGTGCCTCTGCTCAACGACCTCAGCGTACAGATCTTCGGCAAGAAGCTGACAAACAAGGCGCCTCACCTTTACGACGGGGCTCAGGGCAGATAGCGTCCGCGTAACTTGAGCATTCCCTTGTTCTTCCACGCGAGAGCCCATCGTCCCCCTCGTCCACCTCGTAGTCGCCAGTCTCCGAGGGATTCATCAGGAGAAACATTCTCCAGAGGGCCTCTTCCCTGACGAATCCCCTGGCTTTCAACGGCGGGGAACATCGGAGCGCCTCCCTCCTCTTCAGAGAGCGCCCAAGCGCGTGGTGAGTCCGGGCGCGCCTTCTCCTCGGCCTCCTCTTCGGAAGCTTCGTCCTCTTCTTCGGCCTGCTAAGTAGGGGAGGGATCAGGGTGTCCTGGAACGCTCGCGCAGGCTCCAGGGTGGTTTAGGAGGAGAAAGGGAAGGAACGAAGGAATCAGGCATCAAAACCAGTCTGGGTCAGAAACCACAGGCCAAGGTAAAGAAGGAGCAACACCCCCAGGCAAGAGGCAAGCCTGACCTCTGGTGCGCGGCGGCTTCACGGGGGGGCGGGCGGAGTGAGGGGGGGAGACAACAACCCCACGCGCGCAAGCTGCTCCTATCGCATCGCATTCAGCGATCGGGAGACCCCAGTGGGCCCGCACCAAAGGTCGCTCAGGCGAAGGGAGACTCCTACACATGTGGTCGACTCCTCCTCCTCCTACGTGGGGCGAAGCGGAACACCTTGAGCGTCTAAAACGAAAGTGCTGTCCCGATGCGATTGGCTCAGGGTCTGCACCAGGATGCCCACAAGCATCTAGCGGCCCTCTTCTCGAGAGTCCAGACCAGAAGGAAAGCCTGGAAATCCTGGAACGCGTCATTATCATCACCCCTTGCTCCTCTAATCTTCGGTTTAGCATCGCGGAGAGTACCGAACAACAAAGTAGTGCTAATAATATGCCGATCCCACCCGCGACCCACCCAGCGACCAACTGGCGACCCACTCGCGACCCACCCGCGAGCTCGTTGTGCAGTATGTAAAACATCGGCGCCTGCGGCGGGCTTCTTCGGAGCCGCGCAGACTGCCGACGACCCCGCCGCACCCCCTCCCCTCCTCCGCAACTGCGGGGTGCTGCGCGTGCCGATCCCGTTGCTCCCGCGACCTCACCTGGTGCGCGTGTCTGGCCAGGCTGGCCGCGGCGACGACGGGGGCTTCTGGGGAGAGGCGGCCGCACTGGCATCCTTCCCCCCTGGGCACCCCCCGCGCGCCAACCCAAAAGGGGCCTGCAGATGACTAGAGGGGGTCGGCTGGATCGCACAATAGGCGCCGATGAGTGGGGGGCGCGATGCATGGGGGAGAAGAGAGGTGCACTCTTCGGGCGCTGAAGGCCCCCTCTTGGACCCTGAAGAGCCTCTCTAGAGGCTCTCAAGGGCCCTTTTTCGGCAGCACTTTGGCGCCCCCCAAGTTATCGCCACCCCGCCCCCCTTACGCGACGCCCAAGCACAAGAGGCCCGTCTACTGCCGCGGCGGGCGAACATATATTCAAAACGCATGATAAGGAGGCGCGGTGATGATGCAGGGGCCTTGGGAGGCCAGGCCGACGCCTCTAGGGCGGGGTGCTGCCAGCGAACGCGGCCAAGGACATGGACGAAAGGGGCAAGGATGCAAGGGTAGCCTTGAACAGTTGGTCAGCCTTGCTCTGCGCTTTGACTGCATGCAGATCGCAGGGGGAGGTGGCGGATCAGCTCGCGATGGCTGGTTTTTGTGGCGCCTCCCGGCGACACTGGCGCCCATACAACAAGGAGGGCGCACGGCCGCGGGGCCGAAAGCAGCCGAACGCAGCAAGTGTCGCCCCCCCCCCTCTTCCCCAGTCCACCCCGTTCCGCCCAAGGTTGGAGGAGGATTCGTCTGACTAGCCCAACCAGATGCGGCTGCGAGAACCGCGAGGGAGATGAGCCGAAGGAGGAGTGCACGCAAACCCAAAATAGCGCACGCGGTATACCCCCTGCTCTCATAGGCAGCGCGCCGCAAGAAGAACGAGGCGCGGGGCAGTGCGGGCAGGGGGGGGACGAATGGGTGGGACGTATGCGAACTTTCGGTTGAGCTCCCCATGGGCCACGAAACGCGTGTGGCGGACGCATGCGGGCATCCCACCTGAGACCTTCGGTGAAGCCCCCTATGGGGCCACGAAGCGCTGTACTGGGTGTGGCGGACGCATGCAGGCGGTCCCACTGGGACCTTCGGTGGAGCTTCCTATGGGGCCACGAAGTGCTGTAGTAAGCGTTGCGGACGCATGCGGACACCCCCACTGGGGCCTTTGGTGGAGCTCCCTATCGGGCCACGAAACGCTGTACTGGGTGTGGCGGACGGATGCGGGCACCCCCAGTGGAGCCTTCAGTGGAGCTCCCTATGGGGCCACGAGACGCTGTACTGAGTGTGGCAAACGCATACCCCCACTGGGGCCCTCGGTGGAACTCCTTATGGGGCCACGAAACGTGTGAGGGGTGTGACGAAATGGTAGGCAGGCGGTGAGCAGAGTCAGGGATGGGAGGGCCACGAAACGTGTGAGGGGTGTACCGAAAGAGGAGGGGGCGACATGGGTGGCGATGACGATGATACTGCTGATGACGATCATGATGATGATGCTGATGCTGCTGCTGCTGATGCTGATGCTGATGCTGATGATGATGATGATGATGATGATGATGCTGATGCTGATGCTGATGCTGATGCTGATGATGATGATGATGATGATGATGATGATGATGATGATGATGATGATTGATGATGATGATGATGATGATGATGATGATGATGATGATGATGATGATGATGATGATGATGATGATGATGATGAGGGAAGGAGGAGGGGGAGGAGGGGGAGGAGGAGGAGGAGAGAAGGAAACACGCAGGGCGCTGTCATTTCAAAACGATGACCCGACACTACAGGATGGTTGGGAACAAATGCTGCCCAACCGTAAACGCTCGGCGCTCCACGCGGCGCCGTTAGCGCGCTCCGCGCGCCAGGGGGGGGGTTCCAAGCGCCAATCCAAGAAATCCACGCGGAGCTCCGAAAACTTCTGTTAATGCAGTTTTGCTTTCTTCGACTGGTGATCCTTGTCGTCTGGCGTTCGGGTCATAACTCGGATCTCCTTTGGCGGCCGCTCAGCTCAGTCCGTGCACCCCCAGGTGGCGCAGCTGCGGGACCTTATCCCGAGGCTGGAGGACCGCCGACAACCGACGAGTGCGCCAGAACACCTCGCACCTCGCCCCAATCCCCCCCCCCTTTTGTCCCTTGCAGTACCTCCGGGGCTTGCGACCGACGACTAACTTGAGCCAAGATGGTACTAGGAGAAGGAGGAGGAGGAGGAGGAGGGGGAGGAAGGGGAGGAGGAGGAGGAGGAGGAGGACCAGTGAAAACCCAAGAGTCATAAACGACGTTGGAATAAACCCTCCCTCCAAGCTTCCTCTTCATAATCTCCTACAGTTGTTCATTTCCACTGAGGGAACTGCCTCGTTGGAAGGCAACCGTTTGAAGACCCTGAAACATGCCAAAACGTTGTTCTCAGGATTCCAATGCCACGGATCAACCTGACTGTTGCGCCTGGACAATCCTGAATCGCGCCAGAACCAGATTTCTGGGACTTCAACACCGCGAATCAACGTGACTGTTGCACGCTCATAGCCCTGAATGCTTCCACAACACCATTTCTGGTACGCTGATCATGGGAATCCGTGCAGCTCTTGCATTTTTTGTCTAAACAAAAAACGAACGTGCGCGGCGCCAAAGCAAGAACCGCATGTTGAAAAGGAACCGCCCTCAATCCGTGAAGCTCTTGCAATTTCCTAAAACGACTGCGCGCGGCACGAAGGCGAGAATCGCACTCAAAAAACGGGCCGCCCTCAATCCGTGAAGCTCTCGCAATTGCTTTAAACGAATGTGCGCGGCGCTCCAGCGAGCCACATTTTTAAAACCAACCGCCCTCCATCTGTGAAACGGTTGCTGAAGTTTAAGCTTCAGGGTCAACAGTGGTGAGGAAGTCTCAGGCGAAACGCCCAGCCCGCCCTAAACACTGGGCTTGGGGTGCGACAGGGAGAAGTTATATATAAGGAAAAGAAATGGAGGAGGAGGAAGAAGAGCAGGAGGAGGAGGAGGAGACGTCCTGTCACTTGCCCAACACGCGGGGCCCCTTGGGGCCTTGGGGGGCCCATCAGCCCTCATCAGCTCCCGCACGGGCACAGACGGCGCGCCGCGCCGCCGCCCTGGGGGCATCGCAGGCGGGGATTGGCGAATCAGCTCACGCAGCCGACCTCTCCGGCGCCTCTGGGCGCCATCGGCTCCCCCCCCCTGGGAAACCAGAAATTATGAACAAAAAAAAAACCTGGAGGCTTTGCGCGGCCACTTGAGACCCGGTTTAAGCCGGATCCACGTCGTTACGTCGGGTTCACGGCGGACTACGTCGGAATCACGACGGACTGACGCCAGAAGCATCGCCGCGCGAGCGTCGACCCATAGCTTACGGAGCTGACGTGTGGATTAGATAATACAACTATTACGCGCCGCACGAGCCTTTCAAAATTCTCCTCATAACGTCCCCTATCCTCCCCCCTAGGGGAAACCAAAAGGTACCGGTACCGCTACTCCCGGGGCCTCTCCTGGGGCGCGTTCTGACCAGGATGTCGAGGCGAATCCAGCGGTGGCGACGAGGGCCCCCCAGGAGACCAGGCAGCGGCATGGGTACCTTTTGCTCGTCTGACTCCCTCGTCCGACCCGCGAGGAGAGGCCCGGTGTGCTTTTCATGGGCCGTGACCAGAATGTGTGGCCAGCCAAGGCCCCGCCTTGCCGCTCGGGAGGACCCCCGGGCGCCCCTCTGGGGGACGACCCCCGAGACGAGGCGCGGCAGCTGGAGCACGCCGCGGGAGGCACGGACTCCACCTTTCTCCCCTCTCGGGCCGCTCGGGCGGAAGTTAACAAGAGGTGCGTCGACCCCTATCCCAGGCTTTGTGGGTTTTCGAATGGACCAAAAATTTGGGGCCCAACCCCAGGGTCTACGACGGGGAAACGTCCATCCTCGATAGGGCTGCGTTCGAATAGCCCCCTTGGGTTGTATCCCCGCCTTTTCTGAGCGGCGTCATCTTTCGCGGAAAAGTCTGGGGCTGGGGGAGAATAACTAATCGCCTGCGAAAAATATGATCGAGGAGGGGTGGGGGGTGTTGCTAGAAGTGCCCCTGGCCCAAAATGCCCCCAGGATTTTCAAGGATGCCGCCACGGCCTCCAGGGTACCCCTCGCGAGGCCAATAGGGCCCCAGGAGCTCCCAAATGGAGCGAAGCTGGGGGCACCTTGGGCCAGGGGCACCTCTAGCTACCCCCGAGGTGGGGGGTAAACGTGGGTGCAGTCGGGGTTCCAAACCTCTTACGCCGCGGGGAAATCACGGCGCGTGGTGTCCCCCTAACGGTGCGTGCACTCATGAGCTGCCACTTGTCTTCCTCAGACGGGTATCGGCGGCGGCCAAGAGGGGGGCGTCCAGGAGGGGGGGGGGGGCGCAAATCATGGCCAGCGGCATGTGCGCGGCCCAGGGGGGGGGGGCTAGGGACGTAATGAAACAAGAAGAGACGCCATGACATCTGGGAAAATATCATGGCCCACGCCATATTCCCCCCCCCCCCCTGGTCATCATCCCCCTCTTGGCCGCCCCCGAGGGTATGCCGAGTGCCTTGTTGCCGCCGCGCCCGTGGGCGCCCGGCGCTGGGGTGGTATGCCGAGGTTTCTTGCCTGGCGCCCGCCCGCGCCCGCCCGTGGGCGCCCCTGGCGGGAGGCCACCCGTCTCAGTGCGGCTACCGAGGAGGAGGCCAGTCGCCGGGCCCGCCATGGAGTATCGTTTAACCGATCCCCGGCCCCAGCGGCTTGGCCTGGGCCCCACTGGCCGATTTACCCCCCCAGACGGGGGCATCGGTCGTTCTCTTCCAGTTTCGAGGGGTGTATCCCCAACTGGGGTGGTAATTTGGTGGGGATCTCGGGGATGGGACTGGGGATGGGGATCGGTTGAACGATACCGACTCCAGGCCCGCCAGAGCCCAAATAGGTACGAACTCGCTTGTGGCTCTTTCGTGGGCCCTCGCGGGACCCTCTTGAACCGTCCTGGGGTCCTCCGAAACATTGATGAGGCCACTAAGACGATCCGGAAAGCCTGCTAAGCGAACCACGAAGAACACAAACGGTTGTTCACATCGGGGGACGCTTATTGGCATCCTTCTTGGGCCGTCTTGGTGACCTCTGAGCGCTCTCCCGCGCTATCTTGAATCGCAAGCAATATCTGAAAGCGCTCTTGTGATGCGACGCGAGTCACTCGGCTTCCCCCAAATCTCTACACTAGACGTTCACCACTTCGCTATACTCCCTGGGCGCGGCCAACAACCGCCCCCCCTCCAAGGATGACCCTCTTTTTCGTCACGGCCCTGCCGAGGCCCCCACAAGATGCGAGCAGATGGCTGGAGAGAGCTCCGTCTTGGAGGGTGAGCCGAAGGGGCCAGGCTGCACCCGAGGAAACTGCGGCCGCGTGTCGAGAAACTCTCATACATGATCGCCCCATTCGCCTTCTCCTAGCGGATCTGGCAAAAGTTCTGGTTTGCACGTCGGACGTCCGTGGCTCAGGATCGAGGGAATAGGCCCTCAAGGGGTCCCCCAAACTGCCAGACCAGCTCCCAAAGCCGATCATTATCCTTCTCCCTGAGCGGAGTCGCCAATGTACGAAGAGCCAACGTGCCCCGTCGCAATCGAAATCCGCTCCTCCCCTCTCACCTCCCCGATCCCCCTTCAAGGGGAAGGGGCAGGTGGGGCAGGATTTGGATTACGAGACTGATGAAGCATGAAACCTGGCAGCGAAGATGGCAATGGGGGAGGGGGAGGGAGGAGAAATGGAATGAGGATAAAAAGGAAGGATAGGAATCGGGATACGAGCACGAACGCATCACCATAATCCATACATTAGAGCACCTTCTTCTCCTCTGGTGCAGCCTCATCCTTTTTCTCGCCATCAGGAGCCGCTTCCTCCTTTTTGTCCTCAGGCACCTCGTCCTTTTTCTCCTTCGGACGCTGCCCGAAAGACTGATGAAACAAATGCACACGTGAAGCGAGCTGTGATCACATGTATCTGGTCGTTGTGTTGGAAAACTACGCGAACGACTCTGGGTCAGGGGAACATCGTGACATCTGCTCCCCATGGGCTCTGGGCTTTTCGAGTGCGCGCGGATTTGATATTGATCAGATTGGCCGAAGTACCCTACATGATTCGTACCGCGCGACACATAAGGTAATACGCATGCCCGAGGATCACATGAGTGAGCGAATCTGCACTCCACACATGCATACATTGGACTCGTCCTCAAGCTGTGATGACCACCGTGCGTGGTTGAAGCAGGAACGACGGGCGATGGAGCGTGAACCGAATCTGTGCTGGACAAGCGTCACGCGCTGCATGTGAGCGCCACAGCGTTTGGCACGTCGTCTGTCCGCGGGGCGGTCTGCCCTTCGCCGCGGGATAACGCTCCCCCTAGAGGCCTCCTAATGGGGTCAGGTCAGAGTAGATGGGGTCAAAGGATCGCGCCGCATCGGCGATGCATCGGCGATGCATCGCCGACGTCGGCGATGCATCGGCGACGTCGACGTGGAAAAAATCTGCGTCCGCATCGAGCCGCATCGGCGATGCATCGCCGACGTCGGCGATGCATCGGCGACGTCGGCGTGGAGAAAATCGGCGTCCGCATCGAGCTGCAATGGCGATGCATCGGCGATGCGGCGCGATCCTCTGAGCCCCTGCTGGGACCCCATCCAGGAGGCCTAAAACTTCGCCGCGGGACAATGTTACGGCATGTTGGGGCCGTGTCGATCCTAGCGCTGGTTCCTGACACCGCGGGGATCGTTCAACCTTGAAAGGCTGGCCGACTCCAAAACCTCCGATCGTCCAGCGTCGACCGACTCTGGGTCGCCGGCGGCACTGAACCTTGAACGCCAGCGGCGGGGTCGCCGCCGGTCGACACCAAGCGAACCTACCGTACAGTATTCGGCCTGACCTAAGGAACGATAAATAAGGAACGAAGCCCCTTTTTTTTCAAGCTAGTCTAGGAAGTCTGAAGGAACACCAGGGGGGCTCGCCGCCGAAAAGGTAGCAGAACGCGTGCTAACTCAAGGAACGACCCAACCCCTTTTGAAAAATATGTGTTCCTTATTTAGAGGAAAGAGAACTATGCACATACACCGATTTTGGCCAGGCCCAACCCTGAGCCCAGGATCAGTGCATACGCCGTCTTACCTTGGCTACGAAGGTATATGCACCGATCCTGGGTCAAGGATGGACGTTGTCAGGATCATGTGCATAGTTCTGTCCGCCCGATGTTTCAAGCCGGGCCCTGTACCCCGTGGCCGCCCTCGCAGCGTGGATGCGACGATACCGCCTTGCGCGGCGGCGTGGCGCTCGCCCCCCCTGCAGCACACTGCCAGGGCCCCGTGGGAGCTCTCCTGGCCGCCCGCCTGCACTCAAGCGGCGCGGCGGCCAGGCGGCCCACCCCTCCCGGGGGCTCCTCCTCCTCCTCCTCCTCCTCCTCCTCCTCCTCCTCCTCCTCCTCCTCCTCCTCCTCCTCCTCCTCCGCCTCCGCCCTCGCCCCGCACGGAGCAGCGGGCCAGGTGACCTGCACGGCCTGCGGACCCACGGTGGACGAGCCGCTGGCCAGGATCAACCAACAAACATCGAATCGGCAAAGCGGCGCGACTCGGCATGTGCGCCAGATCGCGTCGGCACGGAGTCAAAATCGGATCGGATCGGCTGCGCCATGATGCACAAGATGCGCAACAATTCTGTACAATCACCGGGCCGCATCGGATCATCGCGATATTGAAACCGAATCGGATCGGGCCGGCCAGAGTGAAGATCAAATTGGATCGATCGGCTCGATATGGACCCGGGCCTCTGGCAATGGACGAGCCGTGGACGCCGCGATCACTGTCCGATCCCGTGTCTGCACTGCCCCATGCGCGGCGCGCCTCTTTCTTCGCCTCCTCTTTGCTCTCGGTAGCCTCCTCGTCCGCGGGCTTCTCGGCCTTCCCCGCCGCGTGCGGTTCGGTTCGGGCACACCGGCGCGCGCGCAACGAAACGGCTGTCTGGCCAGGTCACGGCACACAAGAGAAAATGCGTGCTAGCGTGGACCCCAAACCGTGGGACCGTGCACTCTCGATGTGTAACATGTGTTGTGAAAAGTGTGTACGGTGCAGTCGACGAGCTGCAATTATGATGGTACAATATGCAGCATACCATGTATGCGGTGCAAAATATGTGAGGCGATTACGGGATGCAACACATGGGATGGCGCGATCTATGCTGTGAAAGCTATGTGGTGCACGTTGTAAGGTGCAAGCTGTATGGTGAAGCCGGCCTGATACAGTGCATGGGCGGCGATCTGTACGGTGCAGCTGATGTGGAGCAAGAGAGATGTGGAACAACATGTGGTAAATTCTGCGAGTGCGATCTATGAGGTTCAACCTATGTGGTGCAACATTTGGGATGCGGCATGCGTGATGCATCCTCCGTGGCGCAATGTATCTGGTTCAAGCTATGTGGTGCGAGCCATGGGGCGCAAAATGTGCAGCGCAACCCATGGACTGCAACTTATATGGATCAGAATACGGTGTGCAAGCAATAGTTTGCAAGCTATTGGTGCAGTCTACGTGCTCCCAGAGACGCCAAGCAACGCACGAGGCGCCCACAAAAACAATCACCAGGCGAACACGGGCGGACACCGGGCGAACACCGTGATGCTCTGGCCAATGATATAAAGAACAATGAATGAAGAAACCCACAGGAGCAATACTGTATGTAGAATAACTCAAGACTCTCCTCAGCATGTGCGACAGTCTCCCTGTAAACATTGCCTGCAGAACTGAACAGATGAAATCAGAGATGGGTGTCGCGATTGCTCTCAGCGCGAAGCAACCCGGCCACGGACGTCTTGAATCCGCACTGGCGCGTTGCTGCTAATTGCTGACGCAGGCGTGGGCGGCACTTCTACAGTGGAATCACCTCATGAACTCACTCAAGCATGACGACGATAGTATAAACAGGGAGCCTCTTTCTCTTCGCCCGCCTTACTCTCTTCGGCCGCCTTCTGAGCAGCCTCCTCTTCGAGCGCCTTCTTTTTTGCTCGAGCCTCCTGCGCAGCAGCATTTACTGGACATGCGGTAAGCTTCTCAAGTAGATTAAACCAAAGTTGTACCCTAACTGCGCATAGAAGAAACGTGACCGCGCGGATAACCTCAGAAAACATCTACAGGTGCCCATCACATGTCCAGGGTCAACTTTGATCTCGCTCTCACGCTGCAAACCAATATTTCTGGAAGCGCGCCAGGTGCACCCGCGAAGCTCAAAAGCCCCAAGAACGCAATCACCAAAGTGGAGCCCCGCCACGACCGAGGATGCGAAGTCGATTGGCTTAAGCTTCATCCAGCCAGCTAGAAAAAATCGAAGAGATCAAGAGGCCACGTTTGGTGGGCTCTTGACGCCAAAACTAGTTTAGAAGACGTGCCCGAAAAAGAGCAAGCCAGGCTACACGCAAGGACACGGCACAGACACACAGACACACACACACACACACATACTCGTCCTCCGAGGCACCGGTGACTCCAGTCAGCGGTTGGAAACAATTGGGGGGCGCCCGCAGAGCAGATGATCCACTTTATGTGGACACGCGCAGGGCATGATACACTCTGTTCCCTCCGACGCCCGACTGAGTCCAAACCGCGGAGCGAAGCATCTGGTCGCGATTGCATCGAATTGCGTCCTTGTGACGAGGTGCAGCAGCCAAGACGCGAAACGCACACACGTAGGCGGTCGGCTCTCAAACTGGAACTGGAGGAGGAGAGGGTAGAGGTGGAACGGGGGGGCCACCGCCGGAACGGCGCCAGCGAGAAGCGGATGAATGACACACGCACAGACGCGCACACATGTGACGCGGCTGACCCTTAATTGATGACGGGGTATGGCGACCCCAATCCCCGACTGTGCGGAGTTTTCGACCAGAGTAAAGGACTTGAGGCGCAACTCGGGGGTACACAACAGTGGCGCCCATCATCGATAGGGGTGCGCCAGAATAGCCCCCTGGGGGTGTATTCCCGAGTTCCCCCTCTCTTCAGAGCGGCATGATCTTTTAAGAAGTCGGGGGTGGGGGGTGAGAGATCGCCAGCGAACTGACGCTCCGAGATCAGCCCACCGTACTCTGCGTCCGGTGGCAAGCGCGGGGGGTCCCTGCCCTCCCAAACTGGATACAAGCACACACAGACACACACACAAACACGTACACACAATACACACGTACACAAAAACACACGTACTCGCAATACACACACACACACACACACACACACACACACACACACACACACACACACACACGCGCGCAAGCGCGCAAGCGCGCGCGCACACACAAAGCCACACACACACGCACACACGCACACTTTTTGGGGGGCGTCGCGGCCACGCGCGCAGCGGCGCGGAGTAGTTCAGGTCGAGCGGGGAGGCGCGCGCGAGCTGGCCCTTGTCACGTGGCGCGGGGATACTGGCAGCTGTACTGGATCCGCCCCGAGGGGATTGACAGCACCACTCGCGAAGGGGCACCCACACACACACACTGGACACTGTGCCCGCTCATCCCGCGGGACGGCCCTACGCTCGGGCAGTCGTTGGAACCGCGGTCCTGCTTCTAGCCGCCACCGCCCCCTCGCACCCCCCCGTTCCCACTTGCCTTTCCTGCAGCTGGCCCCATCGACGATGAAACGATAACTGTGGATAGTACTTTCCCTACTTCACTGCAATTGTCCGAAAGATTCCCCGCCCCCTCCGCGTGCTGCCTTTTCTTACACACAGGATTTTAAGACATGTGTTTCACATATGATTTTCCCAACCGTCATGTCGTGTTGCCTTATTCTGCCAAAGCTACTACGCGCGCGCACTCGTTTATCAAAAAAATCGCAATTGTCACGCATCCTTTTGCACAAAATGAAACGAAGTGCACGCACGCGCGCCGTCGCACGCGCATGCCAAAACAGTTTAAACATAAGCCTTGGGTCCCAGAAGGATTTCTCAACCGAGCCAAAAAAACATGAAACACATGGTTTGGCAACACGGATTTTCAAAAAACAAAAAAATGCGCGCGCCCTTGCGAATTCTTATGAAAACCATCGGTTGTTCAACATGTTCAAAAATGCAGTCAAACGGGCTTCGCGCGCGCATGTCGAAACCGTTCTAACGCATTTGCGCGCGTGCCGTCGCCAGAACCCTTTGCAAAACAAAAGGACAAAATGCACACGCGCGCGTCTTCGCGCGCGCTGGAATCCGGTTAAAAAATACTTCGGTTTCGCAGCGGTTCCAAAACCGAATAACCAAACAGACACTCAAAAACACAAGGTTTCGCGACACAAGTTGTCAAAACAAACTTGCGCGCGAGCTTTTGCGAATCCCTAAGAAAACCAACATGCGCATATGATTCTGCCAAGCGGGCCTCCGACGCCGCATGCCGACAGCATTCGCACGCCCTTGCGCGCGTGCTGGGGCAGCACGATCCGTGTCAAATGCAACCATGCGGGCCACTCTCGCGCATCGGCCGCGCGCGCATTTCAAACTCTCTCCAGAGCCTTCATCACCGACGCGAGGACGCCGTCATCGTCGTCGGCGTGATCAGCATCGGCGCCCGCGCTGGCAGCGCTTCCGTCGGTGCGAACATCGTCACCAACATCGCCACTGTCATCATCGCGGCTACCGTAATCGGCGTGGCCATGATATCGCGCCCGCCCAAGTCGCCGACTCGCAGTGAAGTGCCCGTTGGGATGCGCCCAGCGGTCAGCGCCACCGCGGCCGCGTCGGTGGCGCCAAACTAGCTGGCCGCTGCGCGCGCGTGCTAGGGATGACGCGGCTGCAGAGATGCACCAGCCAACGCCAAGCATGCATCGCAATCGCCACCGCATGGGTTTTGCAAACAGAATTGCGGGTGGATGGGTGGGATGTTTGCAAGAGCATGGGATGTGTCACCTCATGTGTAAAAATCAAGTGCACCAAATAAACTGCAACAGATATCTGGCAACACATGGATTGCACAAAAGCGGCTACACATCATATAATGCACAACGTATCTGGCACAGCCTGAATTGCATAACGTAGTTTGCACAACATAGAGTACACCACAAACACACACACACACACACACTGCCTGGGGCCCGCGCCGCGCTGGCTGACACTTGTAATTCGGTGTGCACGCCGATTGCAAGTGGAGTTGCGTCTTGAGTTGCTGGAGGATTATCAATATGTCGAGACTTGTTTGCAACCAAACCCTGGCGCTGTCGAACATGCAAGGGTGTTGTGCCTGTCGGTCTGCAATCTCTGCACCGGGCTCATCCAGCATTGCTCCAACCGATGGGCTGCCCAATCCGATTTAAAAGGCCCAGAGTCAAAGAGGCGGAACGAGCCTTCTTCATCTCCCTTTCCGCCTTCTTTCTTGCCTTCTCCCTCTGGATGGGCTCCTGCCAGGAGGCCGTAGAGCGCGCCTCCTCTGCTTTCAAACTGCGTAGATCACGCGCGCTGCACGATGAAATGATCGATGACACAGACTATTCAATCATCTTGGCTGTTGTTGTTTACGTTTCCTGCTGTCCTACTCTATATCTATACCTGGTAGGCAAGAAGTGCCGATACCCACTCCCTGGACCTCTCCCAGGGTGCCTTCTGACCAAAATGAGGGCCCTCCAGGGCGGGCAGCGGTGTTGGCACATTCTCCCCCCATGGAGTCATCTCCTCATCAGTTGGGGGCGAGCTGCAGAACTGGCTGGCCGAATGCCCCCCTCCTCTCCCCTCTCAGCATCGACGAGCGGCGTGGGGAGCAGGGCACCGCAAGGAAGAGGAACCCACGCGAGGCCACCTCTGCGAGGACCACTTCCGCGGGGCCACCGGCGTGTGCGCAAAGTGACTTGTCACGCGGCTGGCCGCCCGCCCCATCACCCCTGCCCCCGAGACGCATCCCCGCCCGGGGTCCACCCCCCCACCACATCCTCCATCCTCCTTCTCGTTCAGACCGCTGGAGGCCGTGCCTCCTGCTCCTCCTCCTCCTCCTCCTCCTCCTCCGCCTCCTCCTCCTCCTCCTCTTCCTCCTCGTGCTCCCCCTCCTCATCTCCTCCGCTTTGCTCAACGTTGCGCAGACTTGGACATCAGAACATCAGAGCATGCCTCCTCCTCCTCCAACTCCTTCTCCTCCTCCCCCTCCTCCTCCTCGTCATCCACGTCCTCCTCATCTCATCCTCGTGCTCCTCGTCCTCCTCCTCCTCCTCCTGCATCGCTCCACCCTTCGCCGACCTTCGCCTGCGCACCCTGATGGTCCTTGTTATCCTATTCCTCCTGCCCTTCCTTCCTTCCTGCCTTCCTTCCTTCCTCATCCTCCTCCTCCTCCTCCTCCTCCTCCACCTCCTCTTGTTCCTCCTCCTCCTCTTATTCCTCCGCTACGCATCCGCCCCCCATCCTGCTCCGCCCCACTCCCTCCCACCCTCCCTCCCTCCCTCCCCTCCCTCCCTCCATCCCGCCTTCCCTTCCGAGCCCTCGAATCGACCCCCGCCCGCCCCGCCACCAGTCCCCTCCCGGTCGCATGCCGATAGCACCAGCACCCTTGACCTGGACCGCGGCCCCCGCAGCATTGATTCGGGACATCGGATCGAATGGGAATTTGCGCCAAATCGAAACGCATCGGTACGGAGTCGGAACCGAATCGGATCGGTCGCGCCAAGATGCACAACACCGCCGTGCAAACATCGGGTCGCGTCGGATCGTCGGGATATCGGAATCAAATCGGGTCCGACCAGCCCAAATCGACATCGAAACGGATCGATCGGATCGAAGTTGACCCTGCCCTGGCCAGGGCCCTCGCGCGGCCCCGAATAACCACCACCCCACCAGCGTGGCGGGCGCGGGGCAAAGCGGCAACATGGCGCGGCGGCGACGATGTGAACTGCAATCGTCCAGTGGGGCCCCCGAATAACCCTTGCGGCCAACGTCTGGCAATGCGAGACCGCTGCGCCCAAGGGCCCACGCATTGGCGCGTGCGACGCAACCAACTGCCAGATAACTGGGGCCAAGAGGCTCCTCAATCTGGATTGAAGTCGGTTTCCGCACAGCCCACGAACGGGTAACATGAGCACACAGGCTAGCCCAACGGGAGGAGAGCAGCCCGCGTGGCCAACCTTGCAGGGAAAGCCCCCGTAGACAGCAGGGGGCGCGGCAAACGAGGGGGGTGGTCCAGCCTGCAACGCCCTGTGCCTGCAACGCCTTGCGCCAGCAGTTGCCTTACAGGCCCTTGCCCAAGCCAGAAGTAGAACTTACACCTGGCACAGAAAGAGGAGGAAGAGGATGCAAGATGATACTGCCACAACTTGAACTACCTTCGAAACCCAGCAAGCCCCCCGCGCAGACACAGAAAAAGCAAACCATCGAATGCCCGATGAAAACCACAGACGGCATGAAGACCATATCCTGAATCTGCGCCCGCTGAACCATCCAGCTCTTCTGCTTCGCCTGCCACTCCGAATTGAGCTTCGCCCACTCGTTCAGCTTGGTGAAGAACCTCGCCCATCCAGTCCTCCCTCCTCCCGCTCCACCTCCTCCTCCTCCTCCTCGTCCTTCTGTTCGTCCGCCCGCTCCACCCTGCCTCCCTCCTCAGAGCTTCGTACTACACAACCATATTGGCACCACACACTCAAGATGCGCGGAGCCCGCGGTGACAACTCAGGCCTGCCATGCCCGCGAGGCAATCACCCCCAGCTTCCCCCAATCACTGCTCAGATGGCTGGATGTCCTCCACGCGCATCGTGCGCTTCTTGTTCTTGATCCACGTTCTGGGAACAGGGTGCGGCGCAAACTGCGTACAACCGACATATTGCAGAACTGTGTGAGAGGCAACGGCGGCGGCCAAGGCCCAGACACGGAGAAAGAAACAGACGTCAGGGGCACGGAAGCGTAAAAACACACGGGGGGCCAAGGGGGATGCGAAGGCAACGGGAGGCGGACCAGTGAATGTGGTTGATAGCCTGTTGTAGCGTGAGGAAAAGGTGGGCCTACGATGTTGCAGAAACCTGCCGCCTGAAACGGCATTGAGTACGAGCCTCGCTTCAGCCAAACGCACTGACCCCACGCCACTCTGGCCGCTGTGTCTAACATACATGGCTTTCAGCATGGAGCCGACGACGTCTGCCATGCGCCGTGCAATCACGATGGGCATTGGACTGTGGCCATGGGCGATGGAAACAACTGGCGTGCTAATCGGTGGCCCTGCGCGTCCGCCTGCCCGTGCGAGCTGTAGCGTTGCCATATCTCGGCTACGGCGAGTTAACTCACGTGCTCACGCATCGGCAATGACAAACATTCTGCAGAACGCGGCCTCAGATACTCTGTTGCCTTCTGCTCGTTGTCCCACTCGAAAACGATCTCGTCAAACTCCTCGTCCTGAAAAAGGATTGCGCAATTGGCTTGGCTTGAGGTGACAGTATCTTGCGAATGTGAGCAGGCCCCAAGGCCTTCTCACAAGCAACACCATCCTGCTACCCCGTCGAGCATCCTGATTGATGCTGACTCCCTGTCGCATAACCACCAGTCCTGAGGATCATAAGCTGTAGGTGGCTTAGGGAGTTAGCTCTTCAAACCCCCTCCTTCACCTTCAGGAAAAGGTGTTCGTCTTCCGATAACCCCCTCTCCCTGGGTCCGGAGGCCGCAGGGTCGCGAGGCGTTAGAACGTCCAGGATGGCTCAAGATGGCCCCAAGAGGGCCGCGGATAACCCAAGATGGCAACCAACATCGCACAAGAACGCCCAAGATGGTTCAAGACAGCCCCCACCACGCCTCAAAAAGGACCCCATAATGTCCAACGACGGCTCCAATTGGCCACATAACTTCCCAAGAACCCTCTAAAAAGCCAAACTCTTTCCAAGGAGGCACAATCACCTTTAGTATTCGCGTATGTTTACTTCCAATAAGCTGTTCAGGCCCCAAGATGACTCCAAGATTGCCCAAGAGCGCCCCAGGAGAGCCCCAAGAGGATCCCGAAAACAATGCGATCGGACTCCGAGAGGCGCCCCCAACGCGGGGCGCCCACGAGGCGCCCACGAGGCGGCATGGGCCGCAACGTGTTGAAAATCCGGACTACTCACAAACTGCCTCTGCAGTGTAAGAGCCCCCCGTCTGGAGAACGCGATTTTGAAGCTCGAGCACATTCCGATCCCCACCCATCATCTCTCATCCCTCCTCTTTCCTCCCCGCTTCTCGCTCCTCCACATCCTCCTTCTACCTCGTCTCCCTCCCCTCATGACTCTTCCTCATCCCCCGCCCTAATCCTGCTTCTCCGAGAACATCCAAATTAGGATGGAGGATCCGACCGAAGGGGCATTCCCGAAGGTTTCACGGAGCCATCGACTCCTTCTCCCCCTCGTCCTCCTCCTCGGCCGCCCTCTTCGCCCTCCCCTCCCACCTCTCTCCTCCCGCTCATTCTCTCTTTTCTCTCTCTCTCACTCTCTCTCTCTCTATATGTTGTGTCTTTCTGTATCTCAATCCTTATGTATTTCTCTGTATGTCTCCATTCCTCTTTCTCTCCGTTTACTCCTCGGATCCCTTCGGGGCGGCGAGCTGCCCAAAAACTCCGACGCCATGACTTGTTCATCTCGAAAAATGGGTTGTGCACCCCGAAACGTTTCTGACCGTCCTGGGCCCGAGGGAGGGGCCCCTGGTCCGTCGTAGGTCTTGCACGACCCCGAGAAGTCTGGCTCTGTCATGGCTCGCAACCCCGGCGGCCGCTCGGGGCCAACGAGATCATCCCAACATACTCTCGGCGAGGGGCAGCTGCCGGACAGCGTCCTGGGGCGTCGCTGAATGGGAGGGCGATAAATCGGGGAGGGGGTCCTAGGAGGCAACTACTGGGAGGTTTTCGCTGGAAGGATTGAGGAGGATTAAACCCCACTGGGGGGCAAATAAGCCAAACTGGGCCTCGGATCCAACGGGATTAAATGGGACTGAGCCGGATTAAGCGGGATTAAGCCGGATTAAGCGGGATTTCGGACCAGGGCGAAAACAGAATTTGACCTCCCAGGAGTTGCATCCGAAGGGGTCGTGGGGAAAGGTGCAGTGCTCGAGCCCAAAAGACCCTAAGAGGCCCCTTGAGGGGCCCTAGAGTGCTCCTCTTCTGCAACCCTCGCTGCCCCCCCCATCGTCTCGCCCCCCATGGCGCGACGCCCAACATCCCGAAGCTGGAAAACGCCAGGGAACCGACGGAACCTCCGGGAACCTCCAGGGAAACGAAAAGGTATGGGTACCGCTAGTCCCCACACCTCTCCTGGGGTTCGTTCCGACCAGCCTGTCGATGCGAATCCGACCGTGGCGACGGGGGCCTCCGAGGAGGCCCCAACAAGCGAAAACGATGGAAAAGTGGCGGTATCGGTACGCTTCCCCCTCTGAGCCTCTTTTTAAACAAGGAAACACGGTGCTGTGCCTCCGCCCCGCGAGCCAGGGTACGGAGGCCTGTTGCCTCGGCGCGCAGAGAAGGATGCCCCAACGGCGGCGCCCCCAACGCAGGGCGCTGCCGATCGGAGATCATCTGACGACCTACCAGACCACCCCAACCTAAACCCGAAGGCCCAATGTCGGGTTGGGGTGGGAGGCGGGTTCCATATGTTTTCGTTTGAATGTTCCCTGGCCCCCTCGACTGGGAATGGAGCTGCTCTAGTCCGCCGGCATGTTGCGAGATGAGGCCATAGCTGCCCCTGCTCTATGATCCGCAGCTGTTGCAACAGCTCAAGAGAATTACCAAATCCTTGTCGTTTCGGGTTGGTCTCGGGCCCCGCCTGCCACTCATCCACAACGCCCACGTAGTTCCGTTTACGGTACGCCCTTTCATTTGCACATGTCTAATCATTTCGCACCACCTCCACCTGACCTGGATTTGGAATCGGGCGCGGTGCTCCAATGTCCGGCAACCAACACCTCCCGATGTCAGCCCCAACGATGGCCCCTCCTCGTCCGGGTGCCGTGCGACTGTTCGAAAGTCGAATGGTAGATTTTCGCGCGGCCACGGATGACTCACAAAGCAGATTCATGCTCTTGCATCTCGACGACCCGGCTGGGTTCGAGGTAGTGCCGATCGCGACGAACCACGTCGGAATGCGCAAGTTGATGAAGGAGATGATCGTTCCAATATTTTGCAAGGCAAGGGACGATTGGATTCGCTCACTCGATCGCGCAGCTGAGGTGTCCCAGTTGATCCCCATGTCCGTGCCTGACGACGGGTGGTACAACTACGTAGTGGTGGTGCGAGCAGCACACGAGAAATTAGGTCTGGCCCCATCGGAAACGGTTCAGAAGTACATGGACCGCAGGCGCCGCGACGAGTCTCCCCGTCGCAGTCAGCACAGGCCCCAATACGCACTGCAACAACCTAACCAATTCGCACCTCGGAATTTCCTCCAATCCGTCTTTCGCCATGACGATCGCGATGCCGATCAGCAAGCGCAGGAGACGAAACCAAAATCTGTTCTTGGACTGGATGATTGCGATCTGGATGTGGACCGGTCGGGGAAGATAGTCGCAGACGAAATCATGGCCGACGACTGCGCCTTCAAGATCTCCTGAGAGGACGGTCTCGGCGGGAACGCCACCAATACTTACCTCTCGAACTTGGACTTCCCGAGTGCGCCGGTGAACTTCCAGATCGACACACTGGATCCTCGTGCGCGTCGCCGCCCCAGCGCAGCAATAACAACTTCTTCAACTTCCAGTGGCTGGGAAAAGATATGCGCGGAGCCTTCCACTAGTTGATCGTCGCGTAAAAGGCTTTCCGCGCGGCAGCAACGCGCGGCAATTCCATCGGCCTGGAGCTGCAGTAGTCCATCCGCACTTTGCGCGATTAGGCCTTCAGTTCAATAGCTGCCCCTGCTGCTCCTCCTCTGCTTCCTCTTGCGTTCGCTGCCAATTCAACGTCGAGGGTGGTCGCCCACTTCTCAAACTAGACACGACGACGTTTTAGCTATAGACGCGCGCGACTTCAATGCCCAGCCACGCTTCGATAAGGCGCGAAGTTCGCGGACTGCCCGGCAAACCAGCGCTCTTCTTCGCAGCGTTGATGCGGGCGTACGGGAGCTCCACTTTCGCTGCAAAGCCTGTCAATCCATGATCTCCGCCAACGCTTCATTTGTCCACCACCTGTTGGGATTGAGGCGCCGCCGTGCGCGTGCCCTCTGCGTGTCCGGCAGGGCCCAGCTCACTTCGTGTTTGCATGTTGTGAACCATATTCGTGCTGTTGCGCGTGCCCAGTGGCCAGGATCGCCCAAATTCCGACCCCGCGTTAAGATTCTCAACCTCATCCAACATGCGTGCCGCGCTGTTGCCAGCGCCCCATGGCACTTACGCAGGTGAAACTACCCGCGGCATGCTGGGCCGCACCAGTGAGCACCACCAGTGTTTGACAACGCCTTGGCGGGGATCCCAGATTCCATGCTGCTTCCAGGTAGCTATATGATGAGATCGTTGGGGTTGGGCATCAAAATTCCCCCGTATCTTTCGTCGGGATCCGACGTCGATGCGCGATGCGTCGAGAAACACGCGATGTCGATCTTGCAGCGTACGTGGAACACTCCATGGGTGCATGAGTACGTTCAGCCACCATTTCGATCTAAGCAAAATGATTCAATTGCTATCCTCGGGGAAAGACGCGCGCCTCGCCGCCAATTCCCGCGAAAAGCTGACCCCCGACAGATATGCGGTTCAACGCATGTTCTTTGCGCTGATGATGTGAGAGGGAAGTTTGCTTATGGCACGGTAGCTCTGTCATTTTTGAGCTTATCCGCCATAACAGTTCGCCATGATGGCCGAGGCGCAAAAGCGATCGCACCTGGTCGTTTTTGAAGTCTTTCGTCAAGAGAACACATCATTTTGCTGATGTGTTGGCTCGGTGCGTCGAAAGACAGCCGAAGTGCAAGAGTCTGGCAATTGCCCGTCGCAGGTTGTTCCAGACCCTCGGAGGGCGTCGCTGGTTTGCGTCGTGCGTTTACCACGGTTACCATATTGTAACCTTCCACGCATTGTGCTTCAGTCGTTCCACAAGGCCTGCGCGTCTTGCATCCCGACGGGCTTCGCTGCCAGAATCCGCGCTGTCTCTGCCTGCGCCACCTTCCAAAGATGTCTCGATCAACTCCAAGAGGCGGGGTCGTAAACTTCAGTCGTGCACCTTTCCGTGTGCACATGCGGGGCGCTTTCTGGCCTTTTGGGCGTCGACTGCACTCCGGGTCCTCTTTGCGCGCGCGGAGAGACCACGAATCCTGTCGACAGCGTGCCTTAGCAAGTGCGCTATGGATCCCCATGCGCTTGGCATCGTGGCCATGTTCTTGCTTCGATTGCTTCCTGAGAGATCCCGTAAATCTGAAATGCACGCGACGTGGAACAGCATTCGCAAAGACAGGTGGCTGGGCAAGTGCACGCCGAACGCGGGAACTCCCAACGACGGGGGATTCCACAGACTGGTTTGTGTGATTGGCGACGGCTGTTGTCTGGGATCGCCGCGGTGATCCCGATCGATAAAGCCAAGGCTTGCGTTGCAATATCGTGCCCTCGAGGATGGCAATATCGCAGGAGGAGCGTCGCCGTCTCTCACAGCACTTCCGTTTCGAATTTCATAAGGGTGGCCTTCTCTTCGCGCGAAGTTTTGCGATGTTAAGGATGCCGTTCGCTATGCTGGCATGTGTTGCCCGGCTCCCGAGCGACATTATTTTGGAGCCGTCGGCGTTTGGCCTAAGGAGTTAAACCTTCTGGCGAAGTCTCGGCCAATGGGTTCATATGTTTACCGCTGTTTGGCACTTTGTATGCTTTGCTTCACCTGGCGCGGAACTTGGCGTGCGTGGTTCATCATGTCTACCCTCATTCGATCAACGTCTTCTCGCATCCCGCGGCTGTGAACCGGCTTCGCGACCTCAGCGCTGACATTGCTGAGCGGCGGAGGCAAAACTTCATGCCAATTGTCACCCCGTTAACAAAACATGGACGGGTCTTTCAACAATGTCGAATGGAAAATGACATTCCGTGCTCTCGATCGGCGCGTGGCCAGGATGGTCCCAGGCTGCAGGAGCCAGACGCCAATGTGTCCGGGTGCCCAGGAACGCTCGGCGCATGGACCTTCGCGGAGGCTCGCCTGTTTGTTTCAAGCGAAGTTGTCGTGGTCATCTGCGTAACCTTGCTAATAGCAGCAAGCATGTTGTTAGGCCGCATTCTCATTTGGCTTGGTCTCGAGAGAACTACATTTGTCTGGGTGACAGATATTCGCCGCCTTGTTGCTCTTGATTTGAAGTATGGGTATTTGCATCACGGTACGTCCATGATTGACCCAGGAAAGGCGTCACCGAAGGAAGCCCTTACGCGCCTGTCTGCAACGCTGTTTGCTGCTTTCTCGAGTTTGACAAGACCCGCCTGCCTCCGAACCTGCAGTGATATGACTGCACCATGTCTCAACTTCTCATGCGTTGGGTGGATGGCACTGTTGGGATCCACTGCTTGTGGGTGCGGTCTGAGGGCGATGATGTTGATGCGATGCACGGTGTCCCTCTGAAGAAGAGACGCCTGGTTACTTGCAAGTCTGGTCACCCTGAAAGCCGGTCGGTCGAACTCTATGGTTTGTCGGGTAGGTTGGTGCAGTACCTCTGTACGTTGTACAGTGTCGCCGTGCACGCACGCATAAGAAAGAAGGGGACGCATTCGCATTTGCTTTTGAAGGTGGAAAATCATGCGCTGCTCGTGGGTTTGAGGGTCGACGTTTCCGGCCACGATGTCGTGTTGTCTCCTCACTCGTGCAACGGCGATATGATGGCACAGCAGCACATAGAGCTTGCAAGGCCACGTGCTCAGATGACGTTGGATCGCTGCCTTGGTGGTGACCCCGTGCGTGAGCTAGCGAGCTTGCTTCTCGAATTGCATTGCTTAGGCGATCCTCGTTCCATCCTTGACCGTGCTGCCCATAGGGTGCAGCGGAAGCATCCTTACCTGACTTCTTTGCGGCGTTCGATGTAGTCCAAACTCGAACGAAAGTACGGGTCGAACCTTCATCTGCTTGCTGGTGCTCACGCCGTTTCTCTCCTTTTCTCGTTCGCGTCGTGCTTGCGAGGCTGAGCGACCCCCCTCGGCGGATGATCGGCGGCGTGCTTGCGTTGCTTCCTGCTCCACCCGCCTTGAGCGATTCAAGGTGCTTTAGCCCCGCATGTGTGCAGTGTACATATGGAGCGATAGTAAACTGAGCATGTGTACAATAAGTACATTAAAAGCGTGCGTGTCTGGAGTCTCTTGCATGGTCGTTCCTCCCATTCTCGTGCTCTGTGATCCGCAGCTGTCGCAGCTGTCGCAACAACTCAGGAAGTTGCAAAATCCTTGGGCAAATTGGGGTCTTCGGGTTGGGTTTGGGTTGTTTGGTGGTTGGTGAGAATCGGCGATACATCGCCTATGGATCGGCGGTAGGCCTCCAATAGCGAAACCGCAAATTCATGGGCGGGGCTTATCTCCCGTAAAGCTGGGAGTACGAGTAAGACACAGCCAAGAGGAAAACAACATCCGATTCGGATAGACGCCAAGATCTGGGCAGAATCGAATTGGATAAGCCGAAAATCTCTCATGACAAGCGAGTCCCGAAGATATGTCGGGAGTCGCGGCCGTTCCTGAGCGATCCAGAACGCTCTGAAAGCGTTCCAGAACGCTCTGGAGCGAATGCTGATCCTAGCCTGCCTGAACGAGGGCGTGGATGAGGGGGAGAAGTTGAGGGAAGGGGGCCCATCTCGACACCTTCCCCTCATGTCGGCATCCGGGGGCCGCTTTCGGGCCCTGGAGCCATCAGACATGAATCTGCGAAGGGAAAAACTACATGGGAATGGCACAATGATCAGCCAATGTCGAATCGGGAGATCGGGTCGAATCGGAACTTGCGTCGGATCGGCCCGCATCGGCACCAAATCGAAATCGAATCGGATGGACTGCGTCAAGATGCACAACAGTGCCATGGAGATATCGGGCCACATCGGATCGTCAGAACATCGAGATCGAAGCGGATCGAGCGAACGCCAAACTCGACATGTAATCGAATCGGACCGGTCGGATCGGAATGGGCACTGGGAGGGGAGGGATGGGAGCGGAGGGAGAAGAAAGATGAGGGAGGGGGAGGATGGGAAAGGAGGGGGAGGATGAAAAGGAAAGCGAAGGAGGAAGTGGCGGCATACGTCAATGCCGATTGGTCACGGTGTGACGCAATCGCCTGCGGCAGGAGAGAGAAAAGCTTTCATGGGGTGAGGATGTCGGGGCCAGGAGGGGGGTGTTGATCGGTAGCGGAAGGAGGGGATGAACAGACGCGGCAGGACGAGCAGGAGCAGGAACTCAAACGGGAGCAGCAGTGGTCAAAGATGGGAATCGAGCCTCGAGCCTCGATCCTCGACCCCATCCTCGAGGCGAGACGGGAGTCGGCGGGAGACGGAGCGGGACGGGCGGGAGCAGCAGCAGCACGAGCTTGAGGCACGGAGGTAGCATGTAGTGAACGAGAAGCCCAAGCTCAAGCCTGTGAGGTGGAATGGGGAAGGGCAGGGTGATAAATCGACTACCCGCAAGAGTGACCCTGGGTGAGAGTGACCTTTGGTGCGCGGACTAAGGGGGCACAACGTGGCCAAATCCAGCCGCGCCGACAGCCGCTATTGCGTCGCGCTGAGCGATCGGGGGGACCCAGATGAGCCCGCACCATAGGACACTGTGGCGAAAGGTCACTCTTACGCGTCATCGAATGAAGGCGCGATCTTAACCGCCCAAATATGCAACACGCAACCCCAAGCGCTTTGACACGAATCTCGACACGTAAATCTAAAACTCGGGTCTTGCGCGACGCGTTCGCCAAATCGTGGGCCACATGTTGCGTTCTGACACGTGCGTATCAGTGACGCTAAGGGCGCGAGAGGTATGGGTGCGGGTTGTCGGGCCCGAGAGGGGCTCCGAAGCGAGCGGGAGCCTCAGCCCATAGCACACACGCACAGCCACCACAGAATAACCTCCCGAGAAATCTGGGTCTGGGCGTCGCATACGCATTGGCGCGAACTGCAAGTTGCCAACTCATGAGATTGTGGAACATGAGAAATGGAAGCAATCGGCAAAGCAGAAACACATCAACGACGCGCCGCCGATGGGAACCCGTCCGTGTGTTACTCCCTGGTTCTGGTCCGAAGTCCTGGTGCTTCTTCCACCACAAAGCGATGATACTGTTTTTGCTTCCCGACGGGGTAGCACGATGAGGAACAGGAGAGGTACGAGGCGGAGTCGCTGGGGGAGAATCAAAATGCAAAGGTGGCGGTAGGTGTCGGATTAAGGGTATAACCAAAACGGGCACGCCAGACAAGGCGCACAATTGGGATTGGACGTTGAAGCACAAGGAGGATCGGCAGCATCCCATGAGGGGCCGCTCCTTGGTCGGGATGGAAAAACTCCCGAAGTTGGAGCCAAGTACCGCGGGGAGCAGGTCGGGCACCCCGACTGGCCTCGTGTGCAGCTTGTTGGTGGAGATCGGGCGATAGAAGGAGAACGCACGTACGACGAGAATGGCGAAACAATGGAAGAAGAAAAAGAAAAAGAAGCGGACGAACGGTAATAGACCCGAAGACCTCGGATAGTATCAAAGTCAGGAGGCCGAACGGTCTTACACCATCACTGGGTACGTGTCTGAGGCGAGCTTCCGCGACGACGTTTGGTGTTGTTGTTTGTTGTTTGTGTTGCTTGTAGGTTGTTCGTGGCCCCAGATGAGTCGAGCGCGCGTGCGGATTGCCTCTGCCATGCTGCAATGGACAAAAGGTGGTTGTCTGCGCTTGTTTGCGCGTTGTGCTCGTCCATGCCAACGGCCAGCCGGCGACCAACCCGCGACTCGCCTGGGAAGGGCCCGCGACCCACTCGCCACCCACCCACGTTGCTTTTACGCCTGCGGCGGGCTTCTTCAAAGCCTCGCAGACTGCCGACGACCCCACCAACCCCTCACTCTTGACCGCAACTGGGGGGACGATGGTAACACGAAGCGGCATAAACACAAACTATCGGAGGGCGGCCCGGATTCCTTTGGTCGGCGCTGGACCCCCATCCCCTGACGCGCGAGCGCAATACATCCACGCCAATGGTGTATGCTCATGCAGTGCGGCGCGACTCGAAGGATGCATGTCGCGGGAAACGACAATCAGTCACTGAGCGTCACGTCAAGCCGAGGTGACATTGGCATGCACACACATGTATCAAACGTGCCTGGGTCGTTGAGCATCAATCCGCCAACCTTGTGATCAGCATCAGCTGAAGCTCACGTCTGCTGCCCATGCTGTCACGATCTCTGTACCTGCACTCCGTGCTCCGTTCGCCTCTGCTCCGTAGATTACACGTCTGTCCTGCACGGGTCTCGTGTTTTTGCACCTCTTTCCCCGTCCACAGCTTGTTCACGCCATCACCATCCTACGAACTGAAGCAGAGAAACTTCTACCCGCTCCTCTGCGAAATCCTGCCAACCATACAAGCCTGAACTTTAGCCTCTTCTCCTCCTCGGTCAACTCGGCCTTGGGCGGCTCTAGATCCTCGTCCTGTCCGTGGCAGGATACTGCAACATGTCGCGCAAAAAGAGGGAGCGAGAGGGAGAAAGAGAGAGAGAGAGAGAGAGAGATGGAGAGAGAGAGAGAGAGATAATTAGACAAAGAGGGATAGAAAGAGAGAGAGAGAGAGAGAACAAACATATAACTATATCCGCTGGCCCCTTGCGGGGCCAGACTGCGAGGCTTAGGCTTGCTGCTCCCTGCTCCAGTTCAAGTTCCCAATGTTCATTCTGATAGTTCTGTGTTCTGCTTCCTACTTTAGATTGTTGAAGTCCACGCGAGGGGGGAACCGAATAGCGGTCTGGCCACCACGCCCGAATCGCGTTGTCTGAATTGCTGTGGGGGCGTGGGACATGTAAAAGTACTTGATATCCGCACCCCCGAAGCTATAACCCTTTGAAAACTACGCAATGTTCGCGTCCCCGAGGCCACACACCATCGCATATTACACAATCATGTCTGCGTCCCCGAGGCAACACACCCTCGTACATGAAGCATTCCGCGCGTCCCCGAAGCCATACACCTTCGCAAATTACGCCGTATTCGCATTGCCGAGGCCAGGATTGCTCCAAAGCACCCGAAGATGGTTCCAAGACGGCCCAAGAGGGCCCAAAACGGCTCCGAGAGCGCCCCAAGAGGCATTCCGAGAGAGCACCAAGAGGCCAAAATCGTAGATTCAAGTTCTTGAAATATGTTGGCCGTCTGGCATGTTTGGCTTTCCGACGCTCCAAGGCGGCTCAAGAAACTACAAAGAGCGCCCCGAAACCGCCCAAGCCGCCTCCAAGGGGGCCCCACGACGGCCCAAGCGGGCTGCAAGATGGCCCAAGAAGCGCCCGAGACGGCCAAATAGTGCCCCAAGACGGCCCCACGAGAGGCCCAAGCAGGGGACCACGAACGAACATTCGATAGTTGTGCCCAGAGAAGCCCCCAGGAGGCCCCACGAGGCTGCCGAGGGGCCCCAAAGACCCCTAAGAGACGCACAAGACGCGCCCAAGAGGCATCCAAGAGGCCGAAAAGATCCCTTCCGAGGCCCCTTGGGGCTGCCCACGACACCCCAACGCATGTACATGAGGCCTCAGACCCACAACTGAGGCACGGTGGCGGGATGGGCCGAAGGCTACTAGGGTGACGGCACCGTCTGAATATGCACTGCTGATTCCCATCCACCCCCGCATGATGTTCCCACATGCGCCAAGGCAGCGCCGAGACGCATCGGCGCGACTCTGATATATCCCATTATGCTAGAGAGGGGGCTGGCGGCAGATGGCAAAGCCCTTACGGATACACAGCACGTATAAAGAGTGAGTGCGTGAGTGAGCGAGAGGGTGAGACAGCGACAGAGAGAGAGAGAGGACAAGGGATATAGGAGAGCAAATGAGAAACACAAAGAGAGAGAGAGAGAGAAACAAACCAACAAACAAACAACCAAACAAAACACACCAACCACACAACGCATGATAAAACTGTTCGCTCTTCGTTGCTCGCGTGCCACTCGACAGGTGTACCGCCAAACCTTCGACACCCGCCCTCTTCGCCTTGGAGCGCACCCCCGTTGGGGGGTATATCTTCCTTGCATGCCACGTGTACTTGGCGTGGCCCCTGAACTTCGAAGACGATGAGGGAACATGAGAAAAGGAAGTTGACGATAAAGGGAGGCAGGAACGAGACAGGATTGGACAAGAAGGAGAGGGGATAACCGAGCAAGAAAAAGATTTGGCAGGAGCGGGACGAACGATAAACACGAGGACTGGCACGGACCCAAACGGGCAGGTCGGGCGGCGGACCTCAGCGGGCGAGTCGCGGGCGGGCGGACCCTGATAGGCGGGTCGGGAGGGCAGGACGCCGAAGCAGGCGCGCGGGCGTCCAAGCGAGCGAAAGGGCAGACCCCCATCGGGGGCAACACTTCGTTACCTGCCACGTGTAGTTGGCGCAGCCCCTGAAAGAAAAAGGGGAAGGGGGGGCGGAAGGCAGGGACAGGGGGGGATGACCAGGATGGCCAGGAGCAGGAGGGCCAGAAGCACGAGGGCCACGGACGAAAGACATTCGCAAAAAGGCCGAGAACAACAACATAAACGCCAGAGCCAGACGGGCGGTCCGGGCGGCGGGCACGCGGACCCTCACGGGCGGATCGGGCAGGCGGGCCCTACCTGGCGGGCTGTGCATCGAAACGGATTTTGCAGATCATGGAAATGCCTCAGCCGAATGCGCGGCACGCTCCCAGAGTAGGTTGCGATGGCGTCTCATGCGAGAGCACGCTTCCTAGACGTCGAAGGCGCGCCGTCTGAGTAGTTTGCAAGGCAGTCCCAAGCGACAGACCGTTTCCTGCGTAATGCGTGCGGAATTTCCGCGAGAGAGCGCGGTTTAGAACTTATTAAACATGCATTCGGAAGAAATATCGGGCGGGAGCTGTGCTTGGACTTTCCCTTTCTGAACTGCAATTGTTGTGGATTCCTTGAGGTGCACCGCGTGTCAACAACAAAGGCACCAACAATCAGGTTAAGACTGTTCGCTCTTAACTGTTCACGTGCCAACCAACACGTGTATCCCAAACCCTCGGTACCCGCCGTCGCCAACAACATCAACAACAACAACCGCACCAAAAACAATAGTAACAACAACGGCTCCCACATTGCACTGCATCATAATCCCACCAAGCGTAGGTGGTTGAACGAATTGTGTCATCCCTCTGCCAATATCCCACCTTCTCCTGCTCGGGGGAGGGGTCTACCCCTCCCCAAAACCCCCTCCCCTCGGGCCCGGGGGGGGGGAGGGGCGCGAGGCGTCAGAGCTCGCAAAATCGCCCAAGATGGCTCCACGAGGGCCTCAGAGACTCCAGGATGGCCTCCATGTTGGCGCCAGATAACTCGGAATGGCCCACACAGCCGCCGACGCACACGCAAGAGGCCTCAAGACGGCCCCGAAATGATCCCAAGTGGCCCCCGAACCCTCCAAGGACACCCGATACGCCAAATTTGCTCCAACACTATCGGCCTTGGAGGCCGCCGAACCAAGATAGCCCAAGGGGGCTCCAAGAGAGACCCCAGGGGGCCCCGAACCGGCCCCGAGAGCGCAATCTGCTCCAATAGCGTTTCCAAAAGATCCTCGAGACGACATGTTTGAACCTCCGAGAAGGAACTTGAATACACGACCCCTCTCCTTTTGGGGCTCGGGGGCCGAGCTGGCACCGAGAGGCCTCCCGAGACCTCCCTAAAGAGCCCCAGAAGGGCCCCCTAGGGTTGAATGTGTCCTTTGGGGGCAAACTCCGTTTCTGTGTTCAGGGCCAAAACTCTGATGAAGGTCTGATTCATGTATGCGCTGGAACTCTGATTCAAGTCCGGCCATCAGCACCAACTCCGATTCAGGTCTGACTGGAACTCCGATTTAGATTTGGCCGTAAGACCCAACTAGGTTTTAGGTATGACTGGAATTCTGATTTAACTCTGGCCCTAAGACCCAAGTCTGCTTCAGGTCTGACTGGGAACTCTAAGCTCAGTATGATTATGGTTTGCTTTGGGCCCTGCCGAAACCAATGTCGCGGCGTCGGCCCAGAACGCTGCCGGGTCGGCCCCGTGCGCATGCGTCTGAAGGAATGCGCAAGCCAAGCGGCAGGTCATAGCTGGGGGCCCAGCCGCCAGCTGCCAAATGCTGCGAGCTTGGCCCGCCTGCGCACGCCGCCCACGGGGCAGCACCCCCCGCCTGCGCGGCCCTGCCAAATACTGCTGAACTGCAGCTGGGGCGAACAAGGACTCACCCGAGGCTCTCCCCTCAGGACTGCCGGCCGCCGCGCCGCGAAAAGATGCGCGGCGCGGTGGCCGCCCCAATCCCCGCCGCCCGCCTGGGACTGGTCGGGGGCGGGTAATACAGAGGAGAAGCGCCGCGCTTTTCGGAGGGCTCAGGGGCGCGGAAGTGCCCTGGGAGGGTTCTGAGAGGCTTCGGGAAGTGGGCAGGGCCCGGGAGGGGCTCGGAAGGTTTTCGAAGGAGGAGGCGGCCCGGGAAGGCGCTCCGGGAGATTGGGGGGAACGGGGGGAGCTGGGAAGGATTGCCGAGGTTAGGAGGAATGTCGAAAGCCGAGCAGGGCTTGGAAAGTGCATGGGGGGTTTGGCTTGGGAGTTTTGCGGAGGTTGCCGGAGGGCGTTGGACAAATGGGGCCGCGCCCGAACGCTCGGAAAAAAAAAAAAAAAAAAAAAAAACAATTCGCGGGAAGCGGCGGGATTTTGGAGGGACACGGAAGGTATCGGATAATTTTGGACCACAGCGGGAGCTCCTTCGAGCGCACTCGGGGGCGAGTTTTCCGAGCGGAGCACGTAGGGGAGCGAAGATGTGTCAAAATCGGCTCGCGTTGTAAGCGGGCTGATTTTGCCTGGCATCTGTTGGGCACTTTCGATTGCTCAGACACGTTCCCCCCCCTCCGTTCTTGCGTCGTCGGCGGGGGGGTCGCGCATGAGCGGATTTATGGCGGTTCTTGCTTCGCAATGTGGAGCGGCTGGGAACCGAGAGTCGCCGCGATGCCCCGCGCCGGCTCGGGCGCGCGCGGAAGGGCGGAGAGGTTCTTCATCGGCGTTGGAGGCGGCGCGAGGCCCTGGGGGATTCCCAGAACTCCGGCGGGGTGAGAAGGGGGCCGGGCGGGACTTCAGCGGGGTAGGAGCTGCGGCTTGGGGGGTGCCTCAACGCCAGCGTGGGCGCCGCGGGGGGGGGGCGCTGCGGAGAGGCCTTCGGCGGGCCTTCAAAGGAACCTTCGGCGCTCTTTGGGCCACGCCGGGGTTGTTTTGAGCCGTCTGGCGTTATGGTGCTGTCAGGCCACCCGGCGCATTGGAAGGCTGCTTGGGTGGGTGCATCTGGGCAGCGGTCCTGGAAACGCCTCGGCGACCCCTGGGGCACCCACGCGACTTTCCTAGGCCATCTGGGGGGCCCGTTGGGCGGTCAAAAAGCCTCGGTGCGTTTTCGGGGGAATCTTGGGGCAATCCTGAATTGTTCGGAAGCCCTCGCTGGCC